GAGAGAATACATCTATGTGGTATGTGTGCACCACATAAAACAGATCCTGCAGCACACTGTGTATAATGAGAGAAAAAAAATGAAATCATGATTTTTCGATTAAAACAGCAACTTTGCAGTGTTTTTTCGTATCTTTTTTATAGTTGTATTTGCGATTTCTTGGTCTCATTTGATAGAATGGAAGACATATTACAGAAATAGAGATGATTTTGATTGGTTTTAGCACTGGAAATGGCTTGAAACTGAGCTCAAAGTAGCAGAAATGTTAAATTTTTGCCGATATTCAAGAGTAAACAAACGACCTCACACGTCTAATACACGTCAGCTGGTGGGTCTAATATACATTCACAAATATGGTGATGATATTTATACAATTATTACAGTATTGCATAACAGTAAATCTTCTATTTTTTGGTGTGAATAAAAATTCATTATGTGAATAAAAAATCAAAATGGAATTTATTTGTAAAGCCTCAAAACATAACTAATGAACAGAGGAAATGTTAGTTTAGTGCCAGGAATGCCTACATTGTTCATTCTGGACCCTATTTTGAAATTGGAATATTTTGAACTTTGTGTTAAATTGGCCAAATTAACAATTTCCGATCACTTTATTTTGTAGTTGAAACAGTTGACTTGGTGATTTCTTGTGCTCAATCGATAGAATAGAAGTAATACTAGTGAAATAGCTAAGAATTTGGTTGATTGGAATAATGTAATTGGCCTAAAATGGGAGTCAAAGTCGGCAAAATCGCCGATTCGTAAATATCGCTGACACATCAAAATTCGCGAGAGCATAATTTCGTCAATTTTCCACCAAATTTCGTACTTTTTGTTTTATTACCTTCACAAAAAGATTCTCTACGATTTCAGAAGAAAAAATAACAAATTTTTTTTTTTTAAATTCTTGGACACTGGTGCGTGACTCCAGATTTGGGCCTTGGACCCTGAAAGGGTTAAGCTACTCGAGAAGAGCTATGATCGTGGTACCCCATCTTCATTAATATGCTCATCATAATTTAGTTTAAATTTTCAATGGTTGTAGCATTTATTCCTCTTTCAATTTATTCCGTTCTTCCACCACTCACTTTGGATGAAAAATTTCCCCAGTATTCCTTAAGCTCTATTTTTTTCCTTTGATTGACATCTGTGGCTTATTATTTTTCTTGGAGGTATTAAATTTTTTTATTTATTTTTTTTAACAAGTTGGCCATCTCCCACCAAGGCAGGGTGACCCAAAAAGAAAGAAAATCCCCCCAAAAAAATACTTTCATCATTCAACACTTTCACCTCACTCACACATAATCACTATTTTTGCAGAGGTGCTCAGAATACAACAGTTTAGAAGTATACACATATAAAGATACACAACATATCCCTCCAAACCGCCAATATCCCAAACCCCTCCTTTAAAGTGCAGGCACTGTACTTCCCATTTCCAGGACTCAAGTGTGGCTATATAAAATAACCAGTTTCCCTGAATCCCTTCACTAAATATTACCCTGCTCACACTCCAACAGCTCGTCAGGTCCCAAAAACCATTCGTCTCCATTCACTCCTATCTAACACGCTCACACATGCTTGCTAGAAGTCCAGCCCCTCGCCCACAAAACCTCCTTTACACCCACCCTCCAACCTTTTCGAGGACGACCCCTACCCTGCCTTCCTTCCCCTACAGATTTATACGCTCTCCATGTCATTCTACTTTGATCCATTCTCTCTAAATGACCAAACCACCTCAACAACCCCTCTTCTGCCCTCTGACTAATACTTTTATTAACTTCACACCTCCTAATTTCCACACTCCGAATTTTCTGCATAATATTTACACCACACATTGCTCTTAGACAGGACATCTCCACTGCCTCAAACTGCCTCCTCGCTGCAGCATTTACAACCCAAGCTTCACACCCATATAAGAGTGTTGGTACTACTATACTTTCGTACATTCCCTTCTTTGCCTCCATAGATAACATTTTTTGTCTCCACATATACCTCAACACACCACTTGCCTTTTTTCCTTCATCAATTCTATGATTAACCTCATCCTTCATAAATCCATCCGCTGACACGTCAACTCTCAAATATCTGAAAACATTCACTTCTTCCATACTCCTCCCCAATTTGATATCCAATTCTTCTTTATCTAAATCATTTGATACCCTCATCACCTTACTCTTTTCTATGTTCACTTTCAACTTTCTACCTTCACACACCCTCCCAAATTTGTCCACTAACCTTTGCAATTTTTCTTTAGAATCTCCCATAAGCACAGTATCATCAGCAAAAAAGTAACTGTATCACTTCCCATTTTGTATTTGATTCCCCATAATTTAATCCCACCCCTCTCCCGAACACCCTAGCATTTACTTCTTTTACAACCCCATCTATAAATATGTTAAACAACCATGGTGACATTACACATCCCTGTCTAAGACCTACTTCTACCGGGAAGTAGTCTCCCTCTCTTCTACACGCCCTAACCTGAGCCTAACTATCCTCATAAAAACTCTTAACAGCATTTAGTAACTTACTACCTATTCCATATACTTGCAACATCTGCCACACTGCTCTCCTATCCGCTCTATCATATGCCTTTTCTAAATCCATAAATGCAATAAAAACCTCCCTACCTTTATCTAAATACTGTTCACATATATGCTTCAATGTAAACACTTGATCCACACATCCCCTACCCACTCTAAAACCTCCTTATTATAAACTTATATGGTGTTGTCATATCTCCTCTTTTCCTCTTATCAAGCAGTATGACTATACTTAGTGTTTTCAGCCAATCATCTTGGCTTGTACTAATTTTGCAGCTCTTCTTTAGACCTCTTTTATTTGCTTTACATATTTTTTTAGGTGTGGACCCCACTAATCAGCTGCATATTCCAATTTTGGCCTAAAAAATGTTGTAACAGCTTATTTCTGCATGTTTCCATCCATATTCCATACTGGACCACAGTTCAAGTCTCCTGTCCACCCCTCTGTTTATTCATAGACAGTCATTCATTACTATTTAAAATGAGTTCATATGACATACATTAAAAAATTGATTTACAGTCTCTCCTCACTTAATGACGGAGTTCCGTTCCCAAGACCACGTCGATAAACAAATCTGTCACTAAGTGAGAAGCACACTATAATGGTAGTGGGATTGTGTCAACCATCTTTGATATTGTTTTAATGTCACCTTTACATCATTTATAACATTTTAAGTATTTTGAAATATTTATACAGTAGTGTGCTGTATACTGCAATGAACAGAATAGAAGAAATCAGCTCTAATATACATTATTTAGGTATGCATATTGGTCAGAGAGCCCGTTGCTTAGTGAGGAGAGGCTGTATTGGATTTCAGGACTAAAAAAAATCCACTGTGTAAATTGATTTGAGAAACAAAGGACAAAGTCTGTTGGTTATAGAATTATCCGTTATTGTTACAATCCGCAAATAGCCTACACGTAGGAGAGAGAAGGAGCTTATGACAATATTTTGGTCCAACCTGAACCATTTACAGTCACAACGTGACTTTGTAAATAGTCCAAAGTGGACTGAAACACTGTTGTAATCTCTTCCTCTCTCCTATGTGCGGGTTATTTGTGCATTGTTCCAGTCACAGTACTGTGATTTTTGTTCTTGTTACAATCTGATGCTTCACGGGTAGATAATATTAATGTTATTACACTTGGCTACAAAGATGCAGTCCCAAGTTACTGTATGGAAAGTAAGTGAAATAAAAATGAAAATAAACATGTTCAAACTACAACATAAATAAGGTAAACTACAGTGGACCCCCGCGTTACGAACGCATAGCGTTACATTAAATCCGCCATATGAAGCATTTGAACGCAAAAATTTTGCCTCGCCTCACGATAAAAAACTTGCCTTACGTGATTCGTCCGGGAAGCGTCCCACGTATGGCCAGCAAGTGCGGTCGCATCTACGCATACATTCGGTACATTTCACATTATCCCAGTGTTTTTAGTGCTTGTAACTACAAAATAAATCACCATGGACCCCAAGAAAGCTTCTAGTGCCATCCCTGTGGTAAAAAGGGTGAGAATTAGTATGGAAATGAAATATGTGCAAAGTGGGTTGAACTGCAAACCTTTATGGATGAAAATCACCCTGACACAGCTACTGCAAGCCATGTTGGCAATCTGTACAATGAAAGTGTTATGGCCCATTTTAGGAAAGTCTTAAAGGAATGGGAGGTACAGAGCTCTATGGACAGATTTGTTGTGCGACAGAGGTTCAGTGACTCTCAAGCTGGTCCTAGTGGCATTAAAAGATGAAGGGAAGTAACCCCGGAAAAGGACTTGCTACCTCAAGTCCTAATATAAGGGGATTCCTCTTCTAAACAATAACTTCCACACTCCCCTCCTCCCATCCCATCAATCATCACCAGATCTTCAATAAAGGTAAGTGTCATGTATTCTATTCTTAGTAGAGTAGTAATTGTGCATGTCTTCTTCAGTTTGTGTGTATTAAAATTAATATTTCATGTGGTAAAAAAAAAATTTTTTCATACTTTGGGGTGTCAGGAACAGAGTAATTTGATTTCCATTATTTCTTATGGGGAAAATTAATTCGGCTAACGATAATTTGGGCTTACGATGAGCTCTCAGGAACGGATTAATATCGTAAGGCAGGGGTCCACTGTATAAGATATATGGCACCTCTTGGGAAAATTCTGAGTGAACTAATACATAAACCATAAGAAATTCTTATAGAGGGAATACCTAATGAATTTTATTGTAGAGTTAAAATTTGGTGATTTCACCGTGAAAATTAAATATGAAGTGCTTTCTACATGTAATAAGCTGATTCCAGATTTAAACTTGTCATCCTTCTTGCAGATACCCATTCAGAAAACAAACAACTGAAAACCAGACATATACATTATGTATAGTAATTATGATTATTTTGAAATATATAACATTCAATGTGTGTAGTAATAAAGTATGAGCAGAAGCTACAAAACAGCAACTCACTTGGTTTATCACAGCCTTAGTAGAATTAATCTTATTTTTGGTCATATTTGAACATTCAGCATTGATCATTATCTTTTCCCCAGGAACAAATCCAGAACGATCAATTCGCAGCACTAGTGACATAGGCCCACTCCTACACCATAGACAGCAGGCATAGTCGTGCTTGGTGCATTCTATCGGCAACTAAAATATGAACAAAAATATTAAATATTAATAATGCAAATAAGCTATGTGGTACATCAAGTCGTACTCACAATAATTTTTACTCCATTAAGCCAGACTGAAAAAGTTAATGTATAGTTTTATACAAAACATACACAAGCCTATTGTACCCATTTCTAGTACTGTACTCATGCACCATCTAGCACATACATATAGGATAAATGAAAATAGTCTTACTAAACTTAGCAATATGTATCTAAACCTGCCTTAATGAGATATGCAAGATCCTCTACAGATTTTTCAACGACATTCCCAAGTGAAAAGAACACACACAACATCTGTTCAAGAATCTTTTTTGCACACTGTTTTAGTTATTGTATAACAACTTCATACTGAAAGTCTGATGATCCCATGAAGTTATGTAAGATATAAAAGAAAAGCAGAACAAAAGAGATGCATACAAATAAGGAAGAAAAGCAAGTTAATGAGAGAATGGAGAAAATATAATAGGTCACCGAGGGATGCTACTTTTTTTGTATGTAGTTAACATTAAGAACCATCAATAAGAGAATGAGTAATTCCATGGGTAACCAAACAGCCTACAAGTATGTTCGGTAAAAAATTTATTTAGAATCCCTTTATGCCGTGACTTCTACCTCCATTCTAAATCACAAGACAGTTGAAGTACATGACAGAAGAAAAGATCTACTGTACTACATTTTATTTTTAACACAGTGGCCATCTCCCACCAAGGTAGGGTGACCCAAAAAAGAAGACACACATTCACCATCACTCACTCCATTTCTGTCTTGCCAGAGGCGTGCCGATACTACAGTTCAAAACTGCAACTATCCCCAAGCCACCATCAGAGAGCAGGCACTGTACTTCCCACCTCCATAACTCAAATTAAACTTAAGAATAATTAAGAGCCAAAATATAATGAACAATTAAAGTAAATTTAAACAAAAAACAAAGTTCAATATTGTACTTCCACCTTAAAAAGTAAACAATTATTCTCTCTAAAGTTTGCTACTACCAATGTGTATCTCACACTACTTACCTTATACTATACAAGTAATTATCCATGCCTTGCCATGTGTATCCACAACAGCCAATCGCCTAGAACCTATAATCACACCTGCAGCCATAACACACTGACTTCAAGCACTATACACCTCCAGTTTTTAAAACACTAAACCTACTAAACATACATGCTATTCATACACACTATACTACTGCTCATTCTACATCTACACAACCTGAAAAATACAGCACAGGTCCCTAACTTACAAACAAGTTTTGTATTCCCAGTGTTTCAATTTCAAAATAAGTTGCAAATTACAGACATGCAGATTTAGCAAGTCTTTATTAAAACAAAGTTTTGATTAGTGTGAGCCTCAGTAACTTGATAAAGTTCACAGTAAGAGAGCCATAATTCTAATAAAAACTTGCTCTTTTTTTATTCATCCGCAATTTCTGCAACTTCTCTCCAGTCTCTCTGAAAAGAATTGTGTCATCAGTATAAAAGCAACTGTGACAACTTCCACTTCATATAAAATCCATTATCTTATAATCCTAATCCTCTCCCCAATACCCCAGCATTCACTTCTTATACAACCCTATTACAACTTTTTACAAACCTCTTAAATCAATAAATCTGTTAAATCATGGTGATATCGCACACCCCTAGGACTCACTTTTACTAGATAATAAATATTCCCTTCCTCTTGCATACATGTACCTTGAACTTAATTTGCTGCATGATAGCTCTTTAATGATTTTGGTAACTTATTACCTATTCTATACATATGCAATATCTACCACATTGCTCCCCTGTCCACACTATCATATGTCTGTTCTAAATTCATAAATGTGATAAAAAGTTCCTTGCCTTTAAGTATTGCTTACTCATATGTTTCAATGTAAAGACTATATATGGTACTGTATCTAATAGTCAAAATAATCTTGAAAGTAGTGTGATAGTGTCAATATTCTCCACAAGTACTTACAAAACAATACAGCCTAAAGATTTCAAATATCTATGTTTCATAATTAACAACTATGGGTAAACTGCTGACTTTAAAACAAATTGCTCTTTACCATAAGTTATTAGTAACCAAGATACAGTGTTACTTCTGAACTATTCTATTTACTAAAATTCGGTCATACCACAGCTTGCGGATCTGTATTGAGATCATACAAAGTGTTGACAGAATATGGTCTGAGGCAAGTCTTGTCAGTCTTCCAGGGTATATCCATCGTGGCCTTACACTGATGACGCACTTTGCCAATGTGGGACTCAAAGGATGATGGAATTCCAGTGGGAAGCACATAATTGAAGTTGAATATGTGTGTGCCAGGGGGAAGCTCTGACTGAGTGTGACCTGTAATATACAAACACAGTCAGTAATTATTTCAGTATTTCCTTCAATATTGCCCTAGTGTTAATAATGAAAGGAGTAAGAAAGGTTTACCAGAGAAAACTGAATGGGGTCTAGTAAACACATTTAGAATATTTGAAAAAAGCTCCATAGCTGATATTTACTTAGGATTTAGAGCTGTGAGGACAAGCAATGTGACTATTTCATTACTACAGCAGATGGTCTTTTAATCAACATTCTTTCACCCAAAATTTATGTAAACTATCCTCTGGTCAGCTTGGTTATTAAGCCTGCTACATATGAACATTGGGCATCCTCTCTATCAATTTCTCACTGTTTGGTAGATAGAATGATTTTTCTTTTAAAGTTAAACTGGCTTATGGATGAGTTTAGGTAACAATAATTTTTGTTAGGTAAAACGACACTGCTGCTTCTTCTTCTTTCAACAAACCAGCCATATCCCATCGAGGTAGGGTGGCCGTAAAAGAAAAACAAAAGTTTCTCTTTTTAACTTTAGTAATGTATACAGGAGAAGGGGTTACTAGCCCCTTGCTCCTGGCATGTTAGTCGCCTCTTATGACATGCATGGCTTATGGAGGAAGAATTCTGTTCCACTTCCCCATGGAGAGTAAAAGAACACATGTGCAACTAGTCTGAAATGTTATTGTGGCAACACTTCACTTTCCAGGAGCTTTGTCAAGCCGTAACAACTTGACAAAGAGTAAAATGTTGCCACAGTAAAATGTCGCATTAATCACATTTTTTTTACCTAACATATTGTCAGTAATTCTACCATTATTACTAACAATAATTTTTTACTGAATGACTTAAGGTCAGCTAAGGTAACAGAATAATTTTTTAATAAATGTCCAAGGTCAGCTTATGGCTATGAATTTGGCCCCTTGAGTAATATCACTGAGAGAATTAGAGTTAAAAAATACTGAGGTTTCTTCATCCATCTGTTTTTACATTAATTTTTTAACTGTCTCCATTGCTTTCTCTTCAACAGCAATGCAAGGTAAGTTTTGACATAGTCACCAATTGACTTACTTCTCTGCTCAAATGCCTCTTTACATTTGTGGGAGATTCATCCACTGACTAATCATGATCATGACAAAATTTTTAAACAATCATGTAATCCCTTTAAATTTGCCTATTATTACCGAAGGTATTTTCAATTATGTGTCCAAAGAAACACTTGAATCATTTATAGAATATCTCATAAAATTATTATCTAGTCTTCCTTTCTTTCATGGCCTACCATAAATAGCTTCATGCTTTCCCTCCCAATCATCAAAAACAGAGTTTGTCCACTACTGCTGTGATGCACTCAGTGTATCTGGTCTGTATTTGCAGTCCTTCAGAAATTCTTTTTGAAGGAATGCAAAATGATGCAAAATATCAGCCAGATACCCAGCAGCTTGTTATCTAGCATGCCTATCCTCAGTGTTCGTCATGTTTTGCCAGGTAGCAACACAAGCTGCAAGGTTACAGAGCAGATTCCAGCACTTGGCTTGAATATGGTGAGCAAATCTAACATCAGGTGGATTGACAAATTACTTAAAAGTGAAGCCAAGTCTTGCATTTCCTCTAAACAGATTTTCTGTGAACTGATGACACATGGAAACATTTCACGGTGTCCTACACTTGTTAATACCATCTTTTCATTTCTGAAACAGCTGTGATGAGATCATGGAATTCCAAGTCAGGTATGTGATACACCATATGCAAAGAACAAGGCAATTCAGTTCATCATTCAGTATTTTCCATGATCCAGTATTTGATCCTGTGTTAGCAGCTTCACCATCAGTTGAAAGTGAAAGTAATTTGTAAAAATAAATACTTTTAAATTAGGCATCATTGTATCAACAACAAGATCTTCATCTGCTTCAATATAATCTATATTTTCCATAAACTGATGAGAATGGAATGACACATCACCAGGATGTTCTACACTTCTTCCATCACCTTCCTTTGGGTCATTTATACCTTTCTCAATAGATTCTATTACTGTAACCTTCAAGGGAGGCTTCTTGAAAAAGGACTTATGATCTAAGGAAGTGGACCTGCTTTTTCCTATGCATTCAACCTGAATTCCTCCTATTACCCCCCCCCTCCCCAGGTACTGTATGATCCTATGGATTTAGCACTCTCCCATGACTATAATAATAATTATAATCTTTTACTGTAAGAAAATGTGTGTCCAGCTGTTATAAATATTATGCCCAGTTGTTGATGATTGCATGTTCCATCAATTTGAACACAAAAAGCATTACCCATGTTTATTTAATCCACCAAATTCTTTCTGTAGACATTACCAATACATAATATGATTTTGTAGAATAATATGTTATAAAATTCAACCAGATTTTTTTTTTGTTTTCAAAAAGTTGTCCATACTGAGAACAAACATTATGAATATTGATAAACTAATAAAAAAGTATACAAACCATTTCCCCAGACCCAATAGGCCATTTCATAATAGGTTTCATGACTGGTATAATGTCTTGTTTCTGTTTTTCTGTCATCGCCCGTACCCGTTGTCCGACGCTCTGTCCAGTGTACTTTTCCAAAGCCTTTGAATTTCACCTCAATGCCTGAAAATCATATACAGCCACTTAAATCCTGAAATTCAATGCTAAAGCAACTAAACAATAAACATAAAGAATTGATAATGAATGATGTAGCAAGCTTCTGAGTTACAGCCTAGACATAAATTACCTATTATATGAATAGCTAAAGCGTAATGAACGCTTGTCAATGCTCAATAACAACTCACATGGAGACAAACACAGGGGGATGATTGATCTGTATATTTAGACCCTCTCCTGGAAAAAACTCTTGACGGAAAGAATTTAGTGTCCGTCATTGTGTAATAGATGTGTTCCAGCTAATCACCTGCTGTAGTTATCTCAATCAGTACATCATAAAAACTATCTTGAACACAGAGAATTACTGGTACAAACAAATCAACAGATAGTGAATCTGCATAAAGTGATAACAGAACAGTCAAAAAATACAGTGGAACCCAGATGTTTGAACTTTATTGGTTACTAGGTGGTGTTCAAACTGCAAAAAGTTGGATGTCTGAAACAGTTTTTTCCAGGCTTTATCAGCCTCGCACACTGAAGGATACTGAACTGACTCTTCCAAAATTCTCTGAAAGTTACATCAGTGTCAGAGGTCACTACAAAGCACTTTTGAAACAGGGCTTTCCTGTAAAACTTTTTTACAACTGAATTTTAAACAAGTCAGCATGCTCGGACTCCAGAAAAACGTTTGAAGGCTGGGTCGATTTTTTCTGAACAAAACTGTTCGAACTCTGGTTTGTTTGAACACTGAGGTTCCACTGTACATACTTCGATAAGGAAAAAAAAAAAAGGTCAACAGCTAACCTCTGCATGATTTAGGTTTGTCACAGGTCAAATTAATATGACCAGTGATGCTTTGCCCAGAGAAATACACTGCTGAAGGGTTGTCAAACACCACTGCAATTGAGGAAGGCATCCTGTATTCTGCCAACAAAAGATCATGATTATAATTCACAAAATATTAAACTTATGTCATAATTACTACTACTTTTGTAGCACTGAATTACTTTCACAAATTTAGCACTAATTTGTAATGTGATACACTGTTGTGATACCTTGTAATATTAATACTAATGAGGAGGAGGAGGAAAGAAGAAGAAAGAAAACAGAGGAAGAGAAAAGAAGATTAAGAGAGTAGAGCAAGAAAGAAGAGGAAGAAAGAAAAAGAAAAAAAGGAAAGAAAATAAAGATGAACATAGAAATAGAAGTGCATATTGTCAAGTACAGTGGACCCCCGCCTAACGATATTACAGTGGACCCCCGGTTAACGAACTTTTTTCATTCCAGTAGTATGTTCAGGTGCCAGTACTGACCGAATTTTTTCCCATAAGGAATATTGTGAAGTAGATTAGTCCATTTCAGACCCTCAAACATACACGTACAAACGCACTTACATAAATACACTTACATAATTGGTCGCATTTGGAGGTGATCGTTAAGCAGGGGTCCACTGTATTTCAATTCAGAAGCCTGTTTGGGTGCCGTTATAGACCGAATTTGTTCCCATAAGGAATATTGTGAATTAGATTAGTCCGTTTCAGACTCCCAAAAATACGCCTACAAAAGCACTTACAAAAATACACTTACATAATTTGTTGAGTTGGGAGCTGATCGTAAGGCGGGGGTCCACTGTACTATACCAAAGCTGTGTACATATGTAGTTGCCTCCATACACAGCTTTACCAAGAGGCATGATAAGATAAAATTGAACAAGATAAACTATCGGACGCAGTAATAGTTAACAGTCCACTTTTTCCCAGTGATATGAACCAAACGAACAGTAAAGAAATTACTCTCCAGATCATAAAGGACCAAACAAAAGTTACAGTACCAGAGTCAGAAATAAAGGAAGCCAGGTTACTAGGATCCCATGGTAGGAAAAGTGTTATGCTTAGATTCCACTCACACGACAGGAAAAAAGATTTAATAATTGCATCTATTAAAGTAAAGAAAGAGGTATACATAAACGAGTGTCTTACCAAAAAATGTCAGAACCTCCTGTATAGAGTCAGAAAACTTAAGCGGGAGAATAATGACACAATACACCAATGCTTCACACGCGAATGGAAAATTCTAGTTAGGAAAACGAATGTAGGTCAACTGTACACAATCACGAACAAGAATGATCTATCACGATTTCTCAGGGATACTAATCTTACAGAGAATAACTAAACAGTGTCCAGCCTAAAAACCTACGTAGTGTAGTGTATGTTTTGCTCCATTATTGTTCAAATTTCATAGTACAATCTCTTAGTAATTAAATAATCAACTACCTCATTTTGTGATTTTATTAGTAAACATAAGTCACCTTATGTAATTTTCTTATTTACTATTGTTTGCTTAAATATTAGCTGAATTGATACTTTCTCTGTCCATATTACTATCTCATATCTTTTAAATACTATTAATTGATATTACTTACTAAAATTAATAATTAATTACCATTTTTACTATCAGTACAATTTACTCTTAACATTTTTGACATCATTTAATTACCATTACTTGTCTAATTACCATAACATGTTTTAATACCACATTTACTATCTTAGAGTACTCTTAATTACCTTGTACTGCCAAATAACCTCTAGTATAACTACCAGTGCAATATTGAATGAAATAAACATTACTTTTTCACTTTTTTTGTAATCATTATTACTTACTAAAATTTTATTAAACACCATATTTACTACCAGTCAATTTTACTTTTGTACATTAATCATTATTTTATACTTTTCGTAACATTTTGTTGCCAAATTTTCAAGTTTGTATATTCAACTCCAACCTTTATATTATCCTTTGTACCTGCCTACCATCTTACTATCATATTATAACCAAGTCATTGCCATTGTTATTTTTTACTTATTATTCTTTTGGTACTTTAATTTGTGAATTTTATTTTGTCAATTTAAATCTAGTTATACTCTTGATCTTGTTAACAACCTATACCAGACTCTGGTGCAATTGCAAGTACCATTTTAATTTGTATTTTTATATTATAAGTTTATAAGTTTATATATAAGTCCTACTCTAAGATTATTTTCATATCTTAGTGACTATACTGTGTGTGTGCAATTAGTGTATATTTCAATTATATCATTGTTCAAGGCCCTTAACTATCTTTTGCTAACTAGTACCAACTACCTCCTATTATTTTTTTTTACTTTATATAGTACAATATATTGCTCAACTTATTATATATAACAAATCAGATCTTACTCCCAAATCAATATTATATCATAGTGACTATCTGTCATTTTAACTTTGTTTACCATTACTTAATTTAGTCCCTTATATTTTTTCTCTTTTATTTTAGCTTTATATAACAACCTTAGTTCATATATTCACAATTGTTAAAAAATCAAGGTGCGTTCTCGGGTTTGCTAAAGGGGTAATAAGCTCATTATTTTGCCTTATATTCATTTATTTGATTACCACTTTTTGTTCAACACAAATTATTTTAGCCCCCTTTTATATTGCCTCATTTATTTTAGCTTTAAAGAGCTACCTTAGCTCATATTTTTTACATTTGTTAAAATAATTCAGGTGCTATTTTTATAGCTTTAGAATATTTACTTTTTTTATACTTAATTCTAACTATAGATTCACTATAAATCTTATGATAAAAAGCATTAAACCTGATACCAACCTTACTAATGACTTAAATGAATCAAACAGTAACTGTAATTACTACACAGCAGAACAATCAAAGGCACTTCTCAGAGCCAACAACAAAAATAACTGAAATTAACTACAATATCAGTTTCTTTAAGCAAACATTACGATGACCTCACAGCATTACTAAATTTCCCCCTGCATGCCAGTATGCCATCATTACTCTCACCGAAACCTGGCTAAAGCCTGATACTACAGATGTTTATGCCATTCCTGGTTACACACCCATACCCCAACTGTAGACCAGACCAACAAGGGGTGGCACGCTAGATACTACTCAGACCAACTAGAATGTAATCACTAATACTTGCACAAGGATGAACAGGGGGAAAATAACAATAGCAAAATTTCAAATCCAAATACCTACAAAAACCTCTCACAGTGATAAACATTTTCAGAGAAAACCACAGTCAAACATTAGCCGTTTTAGGACAACCTAGGAAGTATGATAATTGATGCATGCATGAACAAAAGATCACTTACTACTCCCCAGTGACTTCAATATAAATCTCCTAAAAAGACCAAGACCCACATGTTACTGAATTCACAAACACTATGAGTAACTGCATGTTGCTACCCAACAGTAACAAAACCTACAAGAGTTACAGAGACTAGTGTTTCCCTACTAAAACAACATCTGGACCAACACCATATCCCCCTTAAGATCAGACATAATCACAGAAAAATACCACAGACCATTACCCTACCTTCCTCATAACAAACCTTGGCAAATTACCCCTAGACACGACTAAAGTCACTTTCAGAACTTCACAATGAGACAGCTATCAATAACTTCACAGCAGCAGTGACAAACTTTGACTGCACACTGAGCTAGAAATCTACACAGATATTGACGAATGTATTAATAATTTTCTAAAAAAGACCCAATACCTCTATAACAAGCACTGCCCAAAAAAACTAAACAGATACTTCAAAGAGACTGAACAGTCCCTGGCTAACACCCAGTATCCTCAAATCCATAAATACAAAGCACCTATATGAAAAACAGTACAGAATGGGCCACATAACCAGAGACCAAACAAAACGTTACTCGTCAATCCTAACCAGCCTAATAAGAAGGGCTAAAAAATTGTATTATGAGAACAGATTATCCAACTAACAAGGTGACATAAAAAAGACCTGGAAAACCCTATCAGAAATACTAGGAACAAAAACGATAGCACAAAATAGCGAAATTGAATTAACAAAACCAGATGAACCCCAATTCCCACCTACTGAAACAGCAGACTCAATGATTTCTTCTCCACTATAGGAAAAAACCTTGCCAATAAAATCCCAAGCTCAGATACCCCACCCAATGACTACCTCACTGGCAACTACCCGAACACACTGTTCCTAGCTCCGACTAACCCAACTGAAGTCTCCCTTATTATCAACAAACTAAAAAACAAGACAGGAGATTTAAATACCTTACCACCCAATATATACAAAAAAGTGTCACAGGTGCTATCACCATCATTGCAACACTCTTTTAACAAATCCATTGAATCCTCTACCTTTCCTACAGTTCTCAAAATAGCAAGGGGCACCCCGATCCATAAAGGAGGAGACCACACAGAACTTGAATAACTATAGGCCAATATCCAACTTACACCCCTCTCTCTAAAATCTTTGAAAAATTAATCCATAAGCGTATCTATTCCTACTTTCATCTCCCACAACATACTCAACCCCTGTCAATTTGGTTTAGGCCTAATAAAAATACCAATGAATCTTATTATCCACATGCTAAACATATTTATACAGCAATAGAGAAAAAAGAAGTCCCACTGGGGATCTTCATTGACTTACGTAAAGCTTTCGATACAGTTGACCACAACTTGCTCCACATAAAATTGTCACACTATGGTATAAGAGGGCACTCCCTCAACTACCTAAAGTCATACCTCAGCAACAGAAGCCAATATGTGTACACAAATGGGGCAAACTCTTCCCCCACAGCCAATTACAGTGGTGTCCCACAGGAAGTGTCCTAGGCCCTCTTCTCTTTCTCATATACATAAATGACCTACCAAATGCATCGCAACTACTCAAACCCACACTATTTGCAGATGACACTATATACGTCTACTCTCAACCGAGCCCAGTCATGCTAGCCAATACTGTAAATACCGAATTACAGAAAATATCAACCTGGATGAGGACCAACAAACTTACTCTAAACATTGACAAAACCAAATACATTCAGTTTGGTAACAGAGCTGCAGATGTGTCTCTTAACATAATGATAAATGGATCACCTATCACAAAACTCACAGAGGGAAAATTCTTAGGAATTCACCTTGATAATAGACTCAAATTTCAAACACATATACAACAAATTTCCAAAAAAAAATTCCAAGACAGTAGGCATACTATCGAAGATACGGTATTATGTTCCACAGTCAGCCCTCCTGGCCCTATATCACTCACTTATTTACCCCCATCTCACCTATGGAATTTGTGCATGGGGCTCAACAGCAATAAACCATCTCAGACCACTAATCACCCAACAAAAGGCTGCAGCCAGAATAACAAATTTCCACTACAGACAGCACACTCCACAGTATGCAAAACTCTAAACCCACTCACAATACAAAACATCCATACTTATTACTCACCTACTACATACATAGAACACTTAACTCTGAAAAAAACCCTCCCCTCAAACATCTTACCAACCTCAACAGAACACATGACCATAACCAAGCACAGATCACTCTTTGATGTTCCTCGTGTCCATCTCACCTATGCAAAAACTCAATTTCAATAAAAGGCCCTAAAATCTGGAATTCATTTCCTGTGAATATAAAAAAAACACTGTCTGTTTTTAAATTCAAGTCTCTTCTCAAAAATCACTTACTCACCCACAACTAAATAAATACTGAATAATTGTATCTAATAAATTGTATCTCAATTTGTATCTCATTATTGTATCTCATAAAAAGTCAACCTGTGACCCAATCAAACTTTGTTACTATTTAACTTCATTACCTAACATAATACTCCATTCTACTGATTACACAGCAACACAGTAATGACCATATGACCTGTCTTTGTAATACTCATTTGTACTAAATTCTTATCTGTTTTACAATAATTTTTGTACCACTGAATACATCATTGCTTAGTTAATCTTAAGTTAATTTTAAGCTGTCCATAATGCTCTGTATACAAGGGGCTTGGCATGCTGCACTTTAAAAATTGTATTCCTTGTACTTCTCTGTATCATGTTCAAATTAAATAAATAAATACTGATTGTACAGCAATGCATGCAACCATACGACCTGTTTTTGTAATACTCATTTGTGCTTAATTGTTATCTGTTTACAATAATGTTTTACCACTGATTACATCATTGCTTAGTTAATCTTAAGTTAATTTTAAGCTGCCCGTAATGCTATGCATTCAAGTGGCTTTGGCATGCTGCATTTAACTGTATTCTTTTGTACTTCTCTATATCATGTTCAAATTAATAAATAAATAAATAAATAAATAAATAAATAAAGGTTCTCAAGGCCAGAAGTGTCTGAACCCAGGTTCAGTGAAGAAGCATTTGCAGCTCAGCCTTGACACCAACCATCATCAAGAATTATTAGGGGCACAATTTTAATTATATTTTTGCAGTTTTTTCTATTACAATATCATCTTACTAGCTACTTAAGATATACTTTCAGTATGTATGTGGAAGATATCACAATAAAACACTGTATGTACATAATATATATATATATATATATATATATATATATATTATATATATATATATATATATATATATATATATATATAATATATATATATATAATATATATATAATATATATATATATATATATATATATATATATATATATATATATATATATATATATATATATATACACATGCAAAACAACCACGGGAGGGAGAGTTGAAAAATAACTCTAGGCCTTTCGTGTTGCAATCAACACATCATCAGGAGCTTGCAATGTTGCAGAAAAGAGGATGAAATCCGAACAAACACGTTCATAAAATAGCATGACTTACTTCCACTGTGGATCTTGTAGGCCTAAACTACCGTAAAGTGTAAAATGAAGCCTTATAAATCATTTACAAATAAAACTTTTGTAAAATACTAACCTGAATAATCGTCTAGTGACCTATTTTTATGTCATTTATAAGGAAGCGCTAAACCCACAGGGCTCATATATCGCCCGGGGGAAATGAGAGAATTGGATTCGATGGATGACAGCTCCAATTTCACGGATCAAGAGCCCTTCACTGGCATCAAGGCACCCCTCCCCTGAGAGTAGAGGGGGATGGGGGGGAGTCCTAAACCCGCACGGGTCAAGCAGCACTCGGAAGATAATGGGAAACAAGTGTTTCAGCTCAAACACGGGACGCATAGCTCCGCTTCCTTGGATCAAACTTCCCCCCCCTGGAAGTGAACCTATCCTCATTATCATAAGTAAGCGCTAAACCCACAAGGGTCACACAACGCTGCCCAGGATCAAAGCTTATATAAATACGGTAATGGGTTACCGCCCCTTCACTGTGTACCTCTTATTTCTCTCCCTTCACACTAACAAGCCTAACTGCCTGCTTGCAAATGAGAGTGGATAGGCCTACGATGGTATTTAGCCTCTATAAAGAAGCAAAAGCTGGTATACAGCAGCAAAAAAGCTGAAAGAATTGTGGTGGACTGAAGACAAGCTGATACCTTGTTGTTTATGTTGTTGTTGTTGTTGTTGTTGGTGGTGGTGAGGGTTGTTAAGGGACACTAAAATTTAAGACTTCTTGAGCTCTGTCTCCAGGGAAAATTATGTATTCACCTATTTGTGGTTACAAGGGTCGATTCACAGCTCCTGGCCCCGCCTCTTCGCTGGTCGCTACTAGGTCCACTCTTTCCCTGCTCCATGAGCTTTAACATACCTCTTCTTAAGTAAGTTTATTTAGGCACTACCGCATAAGTATATTTGTGATACATAGTGTATATTACCTAGCATAACCCCCATAAAAAGCTTATTTAGGTACAGGCACACATAAGTACAATTATCATACATAGTAACATACGAGTAAGTTACCTAGAGTAGTCCCAAAAGAAAAGTCAGACAAAGTTGACTTATTTCCATTGGGGTCTTTGTGATATCTATCTTATAATTTAAAACCTAGCTGTGAGATATAGTAGAAATCAATCATGATTATGACTATTAAAAATCAAAATAGCTAAGTAACTCAATAATAAGTCCCTAATTAGGGTGGGTGTCCCGTGGCCTGGTAGGCAACGCTCTCTCCTCACACAAAAGACCACAGTGGAATTAAATCACTTTGTCTGATACATATGCTGCTATGTGTGATAATCTATATAACTGTATTTATGTATACCTGAATAAACTTACTTACACACTGTGTCGGTAGTTCAGTACCCGGCCGGGTGGAAACAATGAGCGTGTTTCCTTACGTCTGCTGTCCCCGTTTACCTAACAAGGAAGTAGGTACCTGGGTTTTAGTCGACTGGTGTGGGTCGCATCCTGGGGGGGACAAGACTGAAGTACCCCAATACAAATAAGACAGACAGTCCTAGATGGCGCATGGGCTTTCTCGGGTTATCCTGGGTGGCTAACCCTCCAAGGTTAAAAATCCGAACAAACTCTTATCTTACCTCCGTGCCTAAACCCGGCAGTCAGACACCCATACACAACTAAAAAGAAGAGGCGGCAAACCAGTAAAGCAGCTCAAATAACTCGAAAGCCATTTACAAGCTACGCTAATATTTTTGTCTGTATAAATAACTCATTACGACTGTAACCAGATATAAATATGAAGATAGTTCGTAATAACTGTACCTTGCTTAGCTATAAGAACTTTGCGGCCCAGTCCCAGGACTCATCAGGTGCCTCTGTAATCTTTTGACTACCTCCTACAGGATGGGTATTGGGTGTATAATGAACATATTAAACTACAGTTGACTTTGTGTAGTAACCATGAGTAACTCTGATGAAGGGGACATTGAATATGAGAGGCCCCTCCATGCTAATGACCATACAACAACCGTAATCCTCATATTTAAAAACAGAGGGACAAACAGGAAGCACTGAACTACAGGTCAGTGTTACTGACATGCATAATGAGGTTGTAGAGATTATCAGAAGAGTAGTGGAACATCTGGAGTGGAATTGATTTATAAACACCAGCCAGCACGGCTTTAAAGATGGTCATCCTGCCTCATAAATCTATGAGAGTTCTATGACAACATAACGAAAGTTAAGGAAGAGAGCGAGAGGGGATGAGTGGACTATATATTTTTGGTCTGTGAGAAGGCATTCAGTATAGTATCTAACGAGAGATAGGGACAAAAGTTGGAGGAGCACACAGGGATAACAACGAAAATTCAATAGTGGATCAAGGAATACTTACAGGCAGGAGACGAGTTATTGTCCAGTAGGAGTCAGGATGAACGAGTGTGACGAGTGGGGTTCCATAAGTGACAGTACTTGGACTCATTGTTAAAGTCATGTTAAGCGCTAGACCCATGTGGGTAATTCAGCGCAAAATGTGGTGGGGGTATGATCATCCGTTTGCTGAGTGCTAGACAGATGCGCTTCATATATGTATTCGCCTATGTATGTAAACGACATGGCAGAAGAACTCAAATTAGAGGTGTTCCTGTTCGAAAATGATGTAAAACTTAAGTCAAATACAAATAGAAGCAGACCAGAAAAGACCACAAATGGATCTGGACATGATGCAGGATTGGTCCTACAAGTGGCTATTAGGGTTTAATCCCTCAAATACAAAATTATAAAAATCGGGGGAGGACAAAGAAGCCTGGAAACAAAGTACAAGCTCAGTGGACAAGCTGTCAGTCTCCCTGAAGAAGGACATCGGGGTGAACGCATCGTTCTGAGCATTTCACCTGAGGCACACGTCTACCCATCAATGGCCGCAGAAAACACGAGATTGACAAAATTAACGACCCTGTATATGCCATATGTAGAGCCAGTGTAACATCCGCATCTCATACAGCATGAACAGCTGGAAAAAGTGCAAAGGTCTGAAACGAGACTAGTCCTAGAGCTGAGGAGGTATGAGTTATAAAGAGATACTAGAAGAGCTAAACCTGACGACACTATAGGACAGAAGGACCTGGGTGACATGTTTACAACATACAAAATATTGAGAGGAATTGCAGGGAGGACAGGATGATTCTGCTTAAGAGGTCGGTCTCAAGTACATGTTGGACACAGCTCGATGTTAAAAAGTACAGTTGAGTCAGCCTTAGAGCGGTCAGGAAGTAGAACAACCTAGTCAGCAGAGAGGTAGTGGCAGGATCCATACATAGTTTTGCAAGCAGGTATGATAGGGTTCACGCAACCAGGAGAGAGAAAATCCAGTAGCAGCCAGCAAAGAGTCGGTGCCAAGAGCCGAAACTCGACCCCAGCGGCCACAAATGAAAGAGTGTGAGTATCTGAGTCAACAACAACAGGCTTTACAATGGTCTAAAAGGAGGGGACGTGGGGTACCCCCGACCAATTGCCCAAAGGATAATTGATACTGACAAAGGTCCAAGAGGCAGAAAACGGGAAACTCGTCAATGATGCACAAGACAGGGCTGGAGCGAGGTGTCCACACCCCATCGAGGCCAGCGCAGGTTAGGTTAGGTAAGGTTTGTTAGGAAACAGGACGAGTGTTACCTGATACGGGTCCTAGCCATATGATGACCCGCAGCTGGAGCTTTAGATCATCTGACCGAGGCCTTCCGCTGGCTTACCGGTCCACCCCTTTAAAAATTATGGTTAGTAATCATAATTATCAGCGCAGAAGTCCTTAGAGAGAGACACCTGAGTCAGCATGTACACACTACCAACACCAGCACTCACATGCCACATAACTTAATAATAATAATGTTTATTTATGTAAGTACATGATACAACTTATACAGACCATAGCTGACATCAATGATATACTATATAGAAAGCCCCTGGTTATGCAGAGCATTTCCTGCAACTTAGGTTAATTTTGTCCCCAGGATGCGACCCACACCAGTCGACTAACACTCAGGTACCTACTTACTGCTAAGTGAACATGAGCAACAAATGTCTTAAGGAAACACGTCTTAATGTTTCCACCCGTACCAGGGATCGAACCACGGACCTCAATGTGTGAGGCGAGTGCGCTACCAACCCACCTACGGTTCCGCTTTTGATTACAAAAAAAAATGATTTATTCTACATTATAAAATCGCTGTTTCATAAATCATACACGTAAAAAATATATAATCGCGTTGTAAATTCCTTATCACGGTGATATTTTGGGCAAAAACTTGATTACTGTTGGAGAGGGAAACGCCTAAACCCGTAGGGGTCTTACAGGAATGGGAGATTTCCAGATTAGGACCGAGAAAGAGAAAGGCAGGTCCATTTCCTCGGATCAAGAGTCCCCCACTAATAAGAAAAAAAAAACGAAATCTATCGGCATTTTTTGTTTATTCTCTTCTGTATAATTTTACAGAATTTGCAAATTATTAAATAAAAGAGATTTTTACAGGCCAGAAATTCCCAATAATCATACACGTTTTGATTATTTGAAATTATTCTTATAAAACTTATAATCTAACTTGTTCCGTCCAGAAGTTAGTAAAAAAATGACATAATTCCTTCAAGCACGAACGTAAACTGAGTGTGTATACCGAGGGGTATATCTCAGTGTATATACACCGAGGGGTATATCTCAGTGTATATACACCGAGGGGTATATTCTCCCCGTGTATCATTAAACACCGAGGGGTATATCTCAGTGTATATACACCGAGGGGTATATCTCAGTGTATATACACCGAGGGGTATATCTCAGTGTATATACACCGAGGGGTATATCACAGTGTATATACACCGAGGGGTATATCTCAGTGTATATACACCGAGGGTATATCTCAGTGTATATACACCGAGGGGTATATCTCAGTGTATATACACCGAGGGGTATATCTCAGTGTATATACACCGAGGGGTATATCTCAGTGTATATACACCGAGGGGTATATCTCAGTGTATATACACCGAGGGGTATATCTCAGTGTATATACACCGAGGGGTATATCTCAGTGTATATATACCGAGGGGTATATCTCAGTGTATATACACCGAGGGGTATATCTCAGTGTATATACACCGAGGGGTATATCTCAGTGTATATACACCGAGGGTATATCTCAGTGTATATACACCGAGGGGTATATCTCAGTGTATATACACCGAGGGGTATATCTCAGTGTATATACACCGAGGGGTATATCTCAGTGTATATACACCGAGGGGTATATCTCAGTGTATATACACCGAGGGGTATATCTCAGTGTATATACACCGAGGGGTATATCTCAGTGTATATACACCGAGGGGTATATCTCAGTGTATATACACCGAGGGGTATATCTCAGTGTATATACACCGAGGGGTATATCTCAGTGTATATACACCGAGGGGTATATCTCAGTGTATATACACCGAGGGGTATATCTCAGTGTATATACACCGAGGGGTATATCTCAGTGTATATATACCGAGGGGTATATCTCAGTGTATATACACCGAGGGGTATATCTCAGTGTATATACACCGAGGGGTATATCTCAGTGAATATACACCGAGGGGTATATCTCAGTGTAT